GAGAGAGAGAGAGAGAGAGAGAGAGAGAGAGAGAGAGAGAGAGAGAGAGAGAGAGAGAGAGAGAGAGGGCGTCTTCGAGCACACGCAAAAGCCGTCAGCCGCAGAACAGGGCTGCAAGATAGTCTGTCGCACTCGATAGGTAGCGTACAGGAGTTTGTCGCTTTCCGTACTGGAATGGCCTTCGCCGTATCCAACGGGCCGTTGGTCGCACCAACGGCCCACTGGACTTCAGTGCAGGGAAAGCGCCGCCCTCCAACGGCCCAAAATGTCCTGGCCCTCCACAAAAGGAAAACACAGGGCCTTACCGGTAGTCCAAACTTTGTGCGGCGATTCAGGCCGTTTGCAGGCCCGACGGCCCTGAATGCCCCGTGATCTTTAAGTTTTAAGATCGCAGGGCAATTCGTTCTGTTGGGCCAGTAGGACCGCGAATGGCCTGGATCACAGCGCGATCTTAAAATCTTAAGATCGCAGGGCAATCCGAGCTGTCGGGCCGGTAGGTCCATGGACGGCCCGGATCTCAAAATTCTCACATTAGGAACTTTTACAAGTGTAGGGAAGAGACCACACGAAATATAAGTTGAAGATCTGCAGAGAAAGGAACAGGAGTAGTAGTATACTCCTGTTCCTTTCTCTGCAGATCTTCAACTCATATTTCGTGTGGTCTCTTAAAGATGTTAATTCATATGCACTTAATAGTACTACACAAGGGGTGGGAATAGGGGATGAAAGGGGGGGCGCGGGGTGGGGAGGAGTTTAGAAACAAAGGAAAGGCAAACTTCACAGGGTTCTCAGTGCTTACCACCAGAGCAGACTACTATAGAATGGTACTAGACACCAGTCAGTGTTTCGGTTGCAGGGAATTTTGAGCTGAGGAGCAGGCGTTGCCTATGGTAAGTGGCCACCCGCACCTTCACCATCAACTTCAACTTCTCCTCTTAGAGGAGGAAGATCGTACGTGAGGGACGACGATGAAGCTGAGGTCAGGAGGGAATTGTGATGGAGGACAATGTTTCAAATTCGAGCTTTGTATCACGCATCTTGGATGCATTCCAGTGGCTATGTCTCATCAACATCCTCAACTGCATATTCCACATCTGAATAGCAAACAGATACGGATGGCACGCATGATGGCGAGCATATCCATGACAAACAACGGGAAGCAGGTTAAAAAACAGCTGTAAAGAATCACCATCAGACCAGAATTGCACAAGATACTCACCAGTGCCTTCTGCTTTGGCGACACACGGCAGCAAATGACCGAGGCACATCCCACAGCCAGCTCTAGGAATTTGTCTTTCAGGGAGTCATCAAGAGCGAATGTCAGTGCCCTCCCATCAATCACAAGTGCATACACAGGCTCCTCTCCATGCTTGACCCCATTCCTTCCCTCCTGCCCTGCTCGAATAAGGTCCAGGCCATCAGCAATCTGGGTAGTCACAATAGCAATCGCAACCTGCACAGAAAGTCAACACACACACACCCACACACACACACACACACACACACACACACACACACACACAATCAAATCAGAACAACAATAACCTATTCATTCATAACACAAACACTTAACCACATACACAGATACATACAAGAATACACACACATGTGCATACACACACACCCCTAAACACATACACAGGGTTGTCACCCGGGGACCCCCAGGGACAAAGCCGGGGCCAGGATTTCACCCGCGGACCCCCTCCCGTGGGGGCGCCAATCCCCAGACCCTGCTGAAGACCCCCGCGCCCGCCCGACCCCCGGCACCCCAGCGGGACCCCGGCCCAGGCACCCAGCACCCCGGCCCCGGGACCCCCGCCGACCCTGGCCCCGGATCCCCGGTCCCCGCACCCTCCCGGCCCCGGCACCCGGGCCCCGCACCC